TTTTTTTTCCCGCCCACCCCTCTGCCGTGTCACGTATAGGCGGAAGGTGCTAGGAAAGAACGAGGTTTCTTCCGTCTGGCAACTGGTACATGATAAATCACAGAGGGGAGATGCTGGGTGATTTCTATGCTTGAAATCCGGTTCCCGTAGTGCCTTACGTTTTGGCTCTGGTTTCCCAGCTTTGCCCTCTTCAGTGAGAAGCTGGGTTGCTGCGTCTTACCTGCAGCTAGTAGCAGGAGGGAGAACAGCTGTTGTAATGGTTTGAGTTTTGCTAAAAACTCAAACTGGTATTTTTAATTGAGAACACTCCCAGATATGCAGGAAGGCGCTGGTGCAGTGTTAGCATATGTTTAATTTTAAGCACTAGGTAATGCAACGGGCTGGAGACAGAGATGCATTGAGGAGTGCTGTTCAGTCCAAAACCAGTTAGCTGATGAGAATGTGGAAAGAAAGACAGTGTAGCTCCTCTTGGGTATAAAAAACTTTAAAAACCTTCATTTTTCAAAGGAAAGCCTCTTAGATACTTTGTGTTTAAGAATATTTTGTATCTTTCATGGGTGTTGTATCTTTATTAGACCAAAATGGATTTCCTGGTAAGTAAGACCACTTACTTGGAGTGGAGTGGTGGAGTATGTTCCAAAAGACCTCAGAAATGTACTAAATAAAACCTTCTGTGTAGCCTGAAACGTTCATAAAATGGAAGTTCTTCAGAGCTATACTGCTGTATCATTGAAACACAGTGCTTGCCTTTTATGTAACTCTGTTTAAATACAGTCAGCAACTTTAAAAGATGTATTCTCTGTAATTAGCTCCTGGGCAATGCAAAATAGGTTCCTTCTCTTTTGTTTTTTCAGCAATGTGGGAGATTGACTTCGTTTTAAACTCTTTTGAAACATCTTCTGGTTGTGATACTTAAAACTAAGCAACACTTTTCTAAATACTGTTTCCAGTGAGCACTGATTTAGGAGATTATAGGCCAAAAAGTCTGGAGGAACTTAGGTTTCGTTTTCTATAAGGCAATTTTTAGTGAAAAGATTAGTTAAAAGATATTTTTTTCTTTAAATTCTGAAAGTGAAAATATCAGCCAACAAAGCTTCAAAACTTTAAAATATGTAGGAATTATGTTTGCATAATATTTTATGTCTGACTTAGGTCACTTTTAAACTTATTTACTTTATAAAATCCCATTTAAATTTTTAAATTTGTTTTAAAACTGGTTTGGGATTATATTTCAAACCTGCCGTTATGCAACTACAGTGAATAAATTGATAATAAAACCTCTTAGAACTGCTGACCATGAAAAAGAGCAAGAATCCTTTTTGGTGGTTACCCTTCTTCCACTGTATGAGTTTCTTTTTTGTCTTTGTGCTACCATGCCGCTCACCATATCTACTGTAGGATCTCTATCCTAATGCAGGGCTGAGCTGTGAGAAGATAAAGCTGAATTACTGGAGTGATTCCTGCTTCCATTTTTGCTGCTCTGGATCCTGTACTGCAGTCGGTGATACTGAGTGCTGTCGCCCGTGTTCATGGAGCATAAAGACACAAAGCATAAGGAGCACTAGCCAGGGTGGTTTGTTTATTCCTCTCTTCTGGTGAGGTTTGCTTCCTAGCATTGGGCAGAAAACAGTTTTCAGCTGTTTTCATCAGCTGCAAACACCATCAGATGGATTTTGCTTCAGAAGCTGTGGCTTCTGGAAGAGGTCAGGAGCTGTAAACGGAACATATTGTGCAGGGTGGCGTTCGATGTTTACACAGGTGTTTCAACAACGGGTCCAAGCCTGAAATGTCTCGGAAAGGTACGGGAAGAAAAAAAGCAGATTACTTTTCCCCCAGTTAACTAACTTGTGTTGTGAAGTAGACAGTGTATCATTTCTGCATTGTCAGGAACAACTCAGTGACCGAATTGTTGAAAGTGAAAATGACATAATGGGTCAGGTGTCTGTTCAGCAGAAAAGACACTAATGAAGGAGTGGGACAAATACCTGTGTTCTACAAGGGAGATCACCTCCTGTCCTTAAGTTGTTTTAAAATGATGAACAGACTACCGGGGGAGTGACCGATTAGGCATGTTCCAAATCTGTTTTATTAGGATTTTAGTTCCAGGTTATCTTGGTTATGGTAGTTATGTGTATCTGTGCTTGCTTGAAAGAAAATGTATAGGAAAAAAGCAAATCCGGAGAAGAATGCTCAGCTTGGATTTCAGTCTGTTCACACATGAAACCAGGACAGTTTTACGGATGTGCAGGTATCTGCCTGTCAGGCCTTGTATAATTCTGTAGTTTATTTTCTTTCATTTAGGTCGTTCTCTGTATTCTTTGTCGTGTGTGCCATGCAGCAAGTGTGAATTTCAGTGAAGTGCTGGAGGTTGTAGCCTCCAGTCGGGGTGTGCCTGGCTGTCAGGGTGAAGTAATACAGCTGCAGCTGTGTGCTGCCCGCTTTAGCATCACTGCGGTGCTGGCCTCGGCCACGGATCAAAGCCAACGTGAGGGAGGGGGCAGCTCCCTAGTTAATGCCTGTTAGAGTTACAGGCAGGTTTCCCTTCTCCTTCCCCCTTGTTCATGTTCGCCTTCAGGTTTGCTTTGTCTAAGTCTTTAGTAGTTTTAAACACATAGGAGTTTGTTCTCTAGCGATACAAAATCGTCCCAAAAATCCGAGTCTGCTGTGCCGTGACACCAGCAAAGGCCCACCTGAGTCTCTTAATGTAGGCAAAATTAAACAGTAGTTTTTGAAGTAAACATTATCTGGCTGCTTCCCAGTAAGTCAAACAATCTGGATTAAAGTTTGTCATAAAACCCTAGTCTTACTCCCTGTTAAGTTCTGTTAAGTGCTACGTGATGAAAAAGAATAATTAACTTTAAAATGAAATCTAGTATTTGTTTGTGAGCTTTTGTGCTGCAGTAGACCAGCATCGAAAAGTTTACCATGGATGATAGAAGCAACTTTTTATAGTTTTAGCGAGCTTTAACTGCACGAGGCAATATTCAAACTAGTAGAGGGAAGAAGTGAGTGTTGCCGATATAGAAGTAACATTGCCAGTATTTTCACTGCTTGTCTAAATTTTCCAGAGCCTGTTTAAATGTAGCTCCACCCATGCGCTCCAACGCAGTGGTGGTTAACTGCTGCAAAAAAATCAGAGTGAGAGAGAGTGCAAGCAGGAGGGCAGCCTGTGATGACTAAGAAATGCGTGCAAAGGACTGGAAGTTTCAGAAGTGCTGCCATGTTCGGTTTAGAAATTGCAAAGATGAAAATAACTTTAAGCAGTGAAATGTCAGAACTTACTGCAACATAGGACAATCACGCCTTTCTCTGCTTTGCGTCGTTTTAGGCTGTTAATTCACGTTAGCTGTTTTTGCTATTTAAGTGCTGCTCGTAGCGTTTTACAAACAGGAAATAATCTAGATTGATTGTAGAGAACTATATACGTGCAATTCATGTCTGAATTTGAATATTGTCACGGTGTCTTGAGCCTGTCTCCTAGTTTCTTTGCCTCTTCCATACTTCTGAAACAGGAACACAGGTTTTCTTTAGTCACAGTTGTTTATGTGAAAAAGTTCCTGTATTTGTTGAGAGCTAGGGCAGCAAATTGCCTTTCTCCTAACAAGTTTCGAGGAGAATGCTTACTTTTTTCATTCATGGAAAACACTGTCTGATATGCTAGTATTCACAAGTAATGCTCTGTTCCTACTTTATCTGTAGCTAGTTTGTCTAACCAGATTCACAATGCTCAGTATATAAATATAAGCAGAAAGTTTCCAAATCTGTCTGCACTTATGCCATTTCCTCTCCCAGCTGGTACTCTTTTTATGGGACTTCAGACACTAAAAAGTGTATTTTGACTTTTTTGTCTATGTTCTGCCGAACCAGTTCCTCCAAACATACTTGCTTTTTTGTATTTTAGGTTTCAGAGTGCCATGTTTGAAATAAAAGCTGTCTTTATGTTTCAGAGTGCTATGTTTAAAATAAAAGCTCTCTTATCTGTTGATTGGACAAATGACGTGCTTTCCTTTCTAGAGATAGCAAGTGATTAGATGCAAGAGAGAGTCTAATATTGTGATAACTGTAGGAAAATTTGAATTTATCTTCCTTATCTTAAATTTAGGTTAAAAAGACAAAGGTTTTTGTTATACAGATGGGTCCATAATCTGCATTAGAGTCACTGAAAGATTTCCAGTTTATAATTGATGTAGATACTATTTTTAGGGACTGCGGATATGTTTGAGGCATAAATGAAGACATTTTACCAGACCTTCTTGGTTGAGGTGCACTGCAATACTGGACCTTGTGTGCACTCTTAATGCGTCGACCTGTAGTGACTTGGTTGATGTAGGCCTACAGATGTTAAAAGAATAGTTAGACCTGCATCAGTGGGGTTTGCTGGAATATATTTTTAAACTACCCTTCCTTCTGGTGAGCACAATGCTTCTAATGTTCAATGTGTTGCCGATCCTAAATGCTGAAAAAGTGAGCTGGAATCAAAAAGTGAGATTAAAAAAATGTGGATTATTGTTAGTTGCTTTCCTTATTTTCCTGTTTGTTTTGTTGTGATGGTGTACTCTAGTTAAAAGTCTTTCTTCACAGCTGTGACTCTATCTGATACAGGAGAGCTGGTAACATCTTGCTATCTCAAAAGGAAGGAAGGCTATTTGTCACTTTGCATACGAAGAGGAAGATACACAATTTTTAGATGAGGATAATGAGGCTGTCTTCAGCTGTTAGGAAAAGAAATACAAACTTCCATGTAAGGATTGGTGAACATGAGATAAAACCTAATTTTTTTTTGGAAGAAAAATTACAGAGTTTTGTTGCTACGCAGCTTAGCAACTGGCACAGTACTCATAAATTCTTCAGATCTCTACAGACCAGCCTCAACCCAGAAGGTAGTCCTCAGCCTAAAAACGGAATCATTTTCCCATTCCCTAATGAGTCAATTTTTAAATTATATTCAGTAATTAAAACTGTAGTATTTTTGTTTCTAGTTTAAAAACTCCTTACACAGTGATTACCTCAGAACAGCAAAACTTTACCGAGACAAGTCTGAAAACGTGCACCGTGATTTCATGCTATGCTGTACATTTGTACAAATTAAGGCCTCTATTATATATATATGTATAATTTAATTCTTTTGCCAATATTGCAGTAAACAGAACTGAAAAACAGGAGTAGAGCTGTAAAAAAATTACACCTGAAATATAGTCACCACAGTGTAGTAAAGGTTGACAGTAAAATGTAACTTTTGTTCTTTCTGTATTGTTGCAGGCATGTAGCAGGGGCTCAGTTCTTCTCCTTTGGGTCACTACAGTGCTCTTTGATCTCTCTGCCTCCACCCTAAACAGTAACAGCTGTGGAGAGGCAATCAAAGCATGTGAAACAGTTTTTTCCCCTCTATCAAAACTGGTGGTCACAAGTAGAGGAGCGTTGTGTTGTGGATTCTTAGCAAGTGGCTTCCCCTGGTGTGGGATGCAGCATGTCTGCACTGCACAGGTAATATGTGGGTTTTCCCGAAGCTCTTTCACTGCATGCCACTTCTCCTTCTTGTCAATACCTTCAGGAAAGACAATCTGAAAGACTTCTGTAGTGTAAGGTAGATAGGGTGAACGTTTCCAAAATAGGGCTTTTAGACTCTAGCAGATGGTGTAGCAGTACTGGTCTAACAGCCAACAGAGAAAATGGTAAAGCTTATCCTGAGACTGCGTACACAGGTGAGCCCCGCTGGAGGTCACAGTGACTTTCCTTGCCTGTGTTAAGGGTGGAAGTGGAGGAAATGCCCCTTCTAGGGAGAGTGCATGGATGGCTTCTCTTGGAGTGAAGAGCTGAAGCCTACTGGGGCTGTGCAGCACCACCCGCATCGCCCAGCCTGCATGGCAGAACAAGCAGTTACTGAATGGTTTGGCAGGCTGGACTGAGGCACTCACGCATGTTGATCCCAGCAGAAAAAGCCTGCGTGGGTGTGTGTTTGGGGGAAGCTGGTTTTAACGTGAGTCAGAACTGGGGAACTGACTCATCGTGTGGCCCTACAAATACTTGTTCTGGAAGAGGGTGGGCCAAGAATGAACAGAAAGCAATGAAATGAGAGGATTGCTTGCTTTTTTTCAGGAATCTAGCTTTGTGCTGAGCTAACATGCATGTAGTCTGTAGGACTTACTCCACTGGTGGACACCAAACTAAGGAAGTTTAGTGCAGCGGAGTGTTGATCCTACAAGGGTGACTGGATAGATAGCTAGAAGTAAATTATTTTTGAATCACCGCAATCTGCTGTAAAGACTTGGGGCAGAGTAGTAATTATAAGCTCTAGAAGTACAGGTAATTTCAGGGGTTTTCTAAGTTAAGTGGGGAAAAAAGCATTATGCTTGGCTAACAGGGCCAGATATGCCTGCCTACTCATGTATTATAACACCGATTAGAAAGCTGAAGGAAGGATGCACGAAATGGTCCAGTCTTCTCGAACTACAGCATGAGCACTGGGCTTAATGGAGGCTAATCTTTTGTCTTAAACTTGTAACTTTATTTATACAAGAGTCATCAGGTACGCCTTGTAAGTTTTAGGAATTTGAGTGATCACTTCACATGAGACTAGCAATTTGGCGTTTCTTTCTTCATTTCTGGCTTCCACATCTGGTCTCAGCTCAAAAAAACCCAACACTCCAAACTCATAACTGGTGTACTTATAATATACTTATTCTGTGAGTATTTTATGTGTGAATTAACTAACAGTGATTTGTTGTGCCAGAGCTAATTCAGGAGTGCATTACAGTCTTGTCTTGGAAAAGAGCTGATTTTTTTTTTTTTTTTTTTTCCCCACAAAATGAGTGAGATGCTTTAAGTGAAAGAACTCAACTTGGCAACTTACTAAAATTATACCAGTATCTGATACTATCAGGTAACAGGATAAAGTAACCACACTGATCTAGAGTTCAGTTTGACTGATTCTAGGATGCACATAATCAATACTTTGACAGCGTAGCTACATAGCTGATACGGGCCCTGGGCTACTAGACAGCATGGCAGCCTCCCCTCTTCCCAGTTGGCATCACCAGCTGGTGGGGTTATCAGGGAACAGATCTGACTAAAAATTAAGTTTTCACTTGTCTCCCCATCTGTCTGCGCAAGTTGCAATGCTGGCCCATTGCAAGCCATTTTCACTGCTGGACTGGCATCTGTTTTTAAAATAACTGAGCATGATGTTTACCATCCAGTCCACTGTTCCTAGTGGCTGCTTTTACCTCCAACGTGCAGAACTACTGTAAATAGTTTGAGGCTTTATTTAAAAGTCTCTGCAGTTGGTGTGTAAGCACCATATTAAAATCCTTTGCGATGTGTAATTACTATGCATAAGTAACATGGAATTTAGTTAAATCAGTATTAGAAAAAACTTACAAAAACCTGACAGTATCTCTTATAAAATTTGAAACTATAGGCTTTGAAGGCTCCTTCCTGCGTTAGGAAATTTTACTTGTGTGCTCTTGCAACGTGTAAATAACAGTTACAAGAAGGCTATCCTAAAGTTGGCTGTACTGCCAGTGGCTCTTGATTTGTATGTTTGCAGTTATTGATGGAGATTGCATTTTGAATTGATTTGTAACTTAACATGGAGAAGAATAAAATGTTCTTGGCTTGAAGTAACATGCATGAAGTATCTCCTAAGGCTAATTGTGCAGAGCATTACAACAGAATAATACCTGATAACTTACAGAATAACTTATTAAGTCTAATTAGGGTGGGATTCTCATTTTGAAAAGAGTATAGTTATAAATGGATAAAAAAACCTATCTGTTCAGATGCTCTACATAACTGACTGTACTTACTTGTTCTCGAATATGAAGTATTTTCTGTGTCTTATGCTGAAATAGTGTGTAAATAGGAAAGGATGGAGATAACTTTTGCCCTTTTACTTAACATGTTAGAGCATGTTAGACTGGATTTCCTGCGGCAGTCTCAGCTGAGGGACGCATTTCCCATTCAGAAGAAGAATATTTATAAAATACTTGCCTCTCCTTGATTTCAGTTAAAACTTTCATTCACTGATGGGTCTGCTGTATTCCACTTTTTCCTTCCTTCCCTCCCGCTAAATGGGTTTGGGACTGGAGTCGTTGCTGACAGATGCAGTTTGTGCCCTTCTTTCAGAGCTGACGTGGCTGTTACCGTAGTGGGTGTGGTGGGGTCTGCCACCTGAGCTTGTCCCATGGTGCCTACCCAGATCAGACCATTAGAGAAGGAGGGGAAATGTGGCATTTCCTACAGTGTGCAAGGCAATACCACATGGATTTAATGCTGCGTATTAGCTGGTTAAATCAGATCGGGTTTTGACTACTTGTAGTACTGCTGCTTGTGACTGACCGTGAAAGTGTCTTGTTCATGTGTTCCCTTCAAGGCATCACCTTAAGGAAGTACAGCGGCAGATGGTGAACGTTCAAAGGGAGCACGCCCATGGCACTGCATTTAGGAGCTCTCAAAGGCCATCCTTTTTTACAGGAGAGAAGATAACAGAGTGTGCCTCATTAACACAGTGATATGCCGTCTGCCCTTTGCCACAACATTGGAGATTCAAAGCTTTTTTTATGAAAACCAATTTTTATGATTACTAAGAAGACTTTAATAATATTAGGAAAAAAAACCAAAAAAACAAAAAAACAAGGCTTCCTTAAATCCATGCATGGCTTCAGACAATGACTGGAAAACAGCAAGACCTATTAGCAGTGTCACTGCAAAGTGTTCTCTCACAAATACCAAGCTAGTGTGTGTATTGTGGTAAAATAAGCTTTCCCCTATGTGCCTCTAATGGAGAAATTGTCTGCAGAACCAGAGATTCAAATGGTGAACCCCTACAGCAAGTTTTCTTTAACACAGAGAAACTTTGCACTTATTTCCTTTCTGTCCTCTGTTCATCTGCCACCCTTAACTTCCCTACTGATAGTCACTTGTACTTTTTCCTTCCCTCCAAAAGTACAGTTTCCCGCCTTTGTCCTGGTTTCAGCTTGGGATAGAGTTAATTTTTTTCTTAGTAGCTAGAATAGCACTGTGTTTTGGATTTAGTATGGGATTTGATATGTTGATAACATACTGATGGTTTTGGTTCTTGCTAAGAAATCAAGGGCTTTTCAGCTTCCCATGCTTTGCCAGTGCGCAGGTGCACAACAAGCTGTGAGGGGGCACAGCTGGAGCCATGGACCCACAATCCCTGGTTTAGGATGTGGGCTTAGACGCAACTTGGCCAATGGGATATTCCATATCATGCAATGTCATGCTCAATATATAGCTGAGGGTTGGCCAGGAAGTTCACGCTCTCTTTTCTGGGGTTGTGGTTTTGGGATTTCTCTCCTCTGGGATTGCTACACAGGGCTGGGCTGGGTGTTGGTCAGTTGCGCTGTATACTCGTTTGTATATTCTATTATTATTACTTAATTATTATTGTCATTATTACTTTTAGTTGTATTTGATTTCAGCTATTAAATTGTTCTTATCTCAACCTGCCTGTCATCTTCCCTTTACCCTTTCAGTTCTCTCCCCCTTCCCTGAGGATCTGTGTGGTGTTTGGTTGCTGGCTGGGTTAAAACCAGGACAACCTTGAAAATAGATCAGTAGCCCTCTCCCTTACCTCCTGTGCTTGGGTTTGTTTTGTTTTATTTTTTTTGTAGGGCCCCCTTGACAAGTGGTATTAAAATACCTGAAAGGGGAGGGGAGGGTATAGAAAAAAAAGTGATTTATAGTGGGAGGGCGGGGGCAGCTGAAGTTTGCACTGGCTTTGAGCAGACTGCCGGGACTACTGTTTCCTAACACTGTGTTAGGAACAGCAGTAAGCAGACCTGCTGCTGTCCACCGGTGGAAAACCTGTTCTTCCAGTTGTGCTGATGCAGTACCTGAGTAACAGTGCCTTATTGTACATGATGGGGTATGGCAAGGGCTGTTGCTCTTCCCATTGCAGGACCCTGCTGGCCAGCCACAAACACTAATGGAAATAATGCATAAATTAAGTATCAGATCCTCGTATTGCATTTCAGAGTAACTCAATCCAGTAGCTATGCAAATTCTCTCATAACCCATGTGGTGGGGTTGCCAGTGCTTTTGCTACAACATAAGGCATGTGATACGATTGATTTTTTTTTTTCTTCCTTTTCTTCTCTTTTTTCCTTTAATTTATGGATCTAGAAGTGACAGAGTCCAAAGGGTTTCTCAATTCACAAACCACAAAGTGTGCTCACAGACAGCCATCTGTCTGGTTTCTATTTTGTAAACCTCCCTAACTCTCAGTCTTTTATTATAGACTAAAAGAAAACTTTGCACCTTTGGTATGTCCCACAGATGATGCTTCAGCAACAATATAGCTGATATTAATGGAGTAAGTTATAAAAGAATTAAACCTAAATTCATTAAACCGAGTCTACAGATTTTAATCCTACGACACGAGTGAAGAAGATGAATACTTTTTAATACTCAAGCTTCGCATTATCAGGCTTACAGTTGCTAGCATTTCCTTCTAAAATTTCTTACAGTGCTAATCTGAAACTTGGTGAGTCCGGAGTCTCCACTGCACTACTTTTACTGAAGGAAGCACATGTGCGTCTTTCTTTCAGCTTCCTATTTTTAGAACTTTATAAACTTGGACTGTGTTCTCCTGGCAGTTGGAGAACAAAAAGCCAGTTAGTCTTTATGCAAGAAGCCCAAGACTTTACTAGAGTTTGCTCCACCCATACCATAGTCTACCTCAGAATTTGCAAGTCCTGTGGGAATGAATGTATAGAGCAAAACAATTGGCAATGCAGATACCTAGTCTTCACTCTATGGGGTGGGAGGTACTGCATTTTCTCTGCTTCTGCAGACCAAGTGCTTGTTAATAAGTAGAGCAAATCTTATGGTTTACCTTTTGAGAGAGGAATCTAGCATGTGCAAATTATGAGTAAGGATATTCAAGGTTCACTTCAAAATCCTGAACTAGATTTAAAATTTTTATCTAGATGCTGTTTGCACCAGGAGGTGCTGGTCTGTTGCGATCTCAGTAAGAAATGCATTCAGATTCTGTAAAGTATCATTTAAAATGCTATTTAGTAGGGCTAGCGTTGTAAAGAAACAGAGAACAGTATAGACAATCATATATACTGGGAGCCCAAAGTTGTGCAGCTCTGAAAGGGCCTCTGATCCACACACAGCACGCTGTGCGGACCTCGTGTGTAGACGAAGTTACCCTGTGTTGATAATTTAAGCTATTGTAGGGTTTTTCTTTCAAGACAACAACTCTGTTCATCGTTCCTGCTGTCGAAGAGGGAGGATGTTCACTGTTAATGCAGGCAAGGCCACACAGGTGGTGTAATCACTGTTAGCCAGTGGGAGCTGCCTGTGAGGTCCTGTTTCAGTGAGCTTGCTGAGTTTACCCTGTGACCAGGGAATTTGTACAATTTGTACACAGCACAGCCCTGAAAGCCTGGCTGAGTGTGCAGCTTCGATGTACAATGGTCTTCTGGTCAGCATTACCACAATGCATCCAGAACTGGGACTGACCAGAGATTATTCCCCCTCTTCCCTGCCCCATGAAATGTCTCATGAAGAAGGTCAGGATGCTTGTTTTTTTTGACTTTTTTTTTTGCAATCACAGAGCTAGAAATAGCTTGAGTATTTTTTTGTTTTGAAACCTGACATGTAGGAAAAAGCTCTGCTGTTTAAAGATCTTAGACATATTGTCTGTATGATAGATACTACTTAGTTCTCTTCTGTAAAGCATATAGAGTAGTAGAATTATGAGGATTCACACGTAAGAACAAAAGTCCTAAAAATTTCACCATTATAGATGAGAGTGATGCTACTGATCTGCTCACTTGTTTTGTTTTCCTTGCAGAATCAAGGCCATTGAAAGTCCAAACAAAGATGATGACACACAGTGGCTGACCTACTGGGTTGTGTATGGTGTTTTCAGCATAGCAGAATTCTTCTCTGATATCTTTCTGTCCTGGTTCCCTTTCTACTACATGCTAAAGGTATGTTAGTTCATGTGACTCCTCTCCTAAAATGAGGCCTTTGATGTAAGTGGTTTAATGCCTTCAAGAAGGGACAGATGACAACAGATTCCCTTGGAATCATTCCTGGGTCACACCTTATTTTTAGATGCTGGTTACATGTAATTTAGTACTGAATATGAAAGTGATCTGTTTACGGCTGATGGTTTTGTGAGGCAAGAGGGGAAATTGGGATGGGTGGCAGGGAAAGTCTGCCATGTTTTAGGAAAAAAGAGATAGTGTAGCTGTACTGTGGAAAGATGGTTCTTCATCTTGGTGTTCAGGTGAATTTGGGCAAAATGACAACTAAACCCTACAGAATAGCTCTATTTTTGCTCTAAGTGCATTATTAGAAGTGGAGAGTAAAATCACAAAGGCAGCAAAAGAAGTATTAACATCTGTGCTATTGGGAGCAAAGAAGGAAATTGCAACATAAGAATAGTTTTAATCATACAGATTTCATTCTTAATTAAGCCTACTTTCCTGAAAGGAAATGGCAGGTATCAGAGGAGTTTGTTGCTAATATGAGTTTGTTAGTGTGCTTTGACTGCTGTCGTGGTTTAACCCCAGCCTGCAACTAAACAACACACAGCTGCTTGCTCTGCGCCCCCACTCCCAGCAGTGGGAAGTGAGAGAGAATCAGAAAAAGAAAGG